CGCCAGCGTTGGAGCCAGCACCCTCTAGTAGCGAGCGGCAGGAATTAAGTTTAACACCTAATACAATATGATTTTGTTACGAATAAAAGTAGTAAATCAAATTAATTGTTAACTTAATAATATTAATTTAATATATTGGAAAAAAGAAATTAGTTGTCATTAAATTCTTAATATATTTAAAATAGGTTCTAAAATATTCAATAATATTAACTTATATAAAATTACCTTAAATCTTCTAAAAGATTGGGATTCGTTATATAAAGTTTTGGAACTAATTCATTCAACATCCACTGCAATGAGCAATTACAAATAAATGGATTTCCTTGCAGATTAATGAGATATTTTAAATTTGAAATATTTTTATTGTAAACATTTATATTAAATAGTTTTGATGGCAAGTAAGTGAAACAATTATTGCTCAAATCTAGCTGAAAAATGAAAAAAATTGTGTAATATGTTTTTTTTTTAAAGAAATATTTTTATATAAAAAGCTTTTGTGCGTGTAAAATACTAACAGAGCAAATGTTCATATGTTGAAAAACGTTTTCCTTAATCATGTTCAACTTTTTATTACTCGAAATAGTTATGTTGATACAACTATTTTTCTTCTCCTTTAACATTAGAAATGCTTCTTGATCAATTTCCTCAAACGTTTCCATAAATTTTACTTCAAATATTTCCAAATTTAATTCAGACCGAATTCTTATATCTTTCAAATGATTCCCACTGACTTTAAAAATTCTTAAACTTGGAAAACTTTTAATAGAAATAGTTTCAGGTATTATTGTTAAATTATTGAAGGATACATCTAACGACTCTAAACTTTTCAGAAAAACTTCTGGAAAGTCCGATAAGGAATTTCCACTGATATTTAATTTTTTTAATTCTTCCAATAAGGTTAAATTGTCATATATGTTAGAAATGCTATTGTTTTGAATGTTTAAGGTATGAATTGATGATTTTTGAAATGATATAATATTGATAAGATTGTTTTCTGTGTAAAGTTCCAACAATGACAATGGAAGATTTTGGAAATTTAAGGAGAGAAGCTGATTATTGTTCACGTGAAGAATCTTCAAATGTTGCATATAAAGTAAAGAATTGACTGGTAGAGTAGTAAATTTATTGAAGGAGAGATTTAAATATTCCAACTCCGGCATAACATCGAGGAAATTCTGTAAAATATTAAAATATTAAAATAAATGAATTTAATAAAAGTAATGTTAATATATTGCAATAACTACGTATAATTTTAATTATATTATTATATTATAGCATTACTATAATAAATTTCGCTAAAATTTTGTTTGCTGTTAGAATTAAAATTAATCTTTTATTGTTAAAATTACTGTATTACCAAATCAACAAGATTGTTGTGAGAAACATCAAAGACTTTTAACTTTGTTGTTGCGTTTTCTGAACTTTTTTCCAAATTGTTCATATGATTATAACTCAAATTAAATTTGGAAAGGGAAGAAGCTGTACTTAAGACCGAAATATCGAAGTCCCCAAGTAAATTGCTAGAATAATCTAAATCTTCGAGCTCATTTAGGTTCTTAAGGATGTCTGAATGTATATTATCCAATTTATTTTGAGACAAATCCAATCCTTTTAAATGTTTCAGACGTTTTAGTTCATTTAGAGGTAGAAGCACTATATTGTTCTTTGAAAGAATAAGTTTGTTTAATGGTCGATGTTTATCTAGAGTAACAAAATCGAAGTTAAGAACTTCATTGGTTCTCAAGTATCTGTCGTGACAATCAATAATTGGTCCTACATCTGTAAGAACATGTAATATTACATTGATATTTATGATTTATATTATTAGCGTATTACAAATCATATATTGTGATATATTATTATTTACAGTAACAATGATAATGACAAAAATGTATATTATCATGTACCTATATTTATTGATTTATTTATTGTCATTTATTAATTTATTAAATCTTGTAATTTTTAAAAATATAACGCATATAACTTTTACAATTAGCAGTAATAATATAATAACAAAAATATCATGTATTTATTATTTTTTAACCGATTCCTTCTATTATTTCTTCCGCGGCGATAGATCTTATCATTCTTTTTCTTTTGAACTTACTTGAGGTAGAACATCCACAGGTTTCACATATATCGCACAAACATTCGTTGCATAGAAATAAAAGCGACAGTGCAATAATATTAAACATTATGAGATATCCGTATTGTGATTTTACACGCAGGCTATCACTAAATAGCATATATTTAATTATATATAGTAGATGCACGCCTACTATAGCCGATCCCGATAACATATCTGATAAGTGCGTCAACCATGTGAGTAATATGTATGAGATTACATACTACTCATCTTGCGGGAAATATAGGTGCGACAGATATCATTTAATTAATTATTGATATAACTCACAATTTCTTACAATCATGTAGAAACAATTTTAATTTTTTATATTATAAATTTTAATCCATTAAATGTAAAAAATAAACTCAGATGTTATGTACATAAAGTCGAGACAATAAATGTGAATACAAAATAGCTTTTTTAGGTATCCATAAAAATAACAATCACAAATTGTCATACTCAATCATTACAATATTAATCACGTACATAAATTTAAAATACTTCCGCTATTAAATATAGGCCGTGTCCCGATATACATTTTTAGTACTAAAAATCTATAATATACTTAATGTGAACTATAGGTTTTAGTATTACATTAACAATGTATACAGCGGAATAAGATCATAATAGAATGTCTATTTTATAGATATTCTATTATTATGAAACAGCATCCCTCTCAAAACGATCTAATTTTTGTTTCAGATTTCGTGAATTTATCTTTTAGTTTAAGCAAAATGTGATTTGATTTTATTTTGACAAAGTATAATATCCTCATCATTTTTTAATTATTTAGTTGCAGTATTTCTGGTATTCATCTGGTGAAACAATTTATTTATTTGTAAAAATTGATTATCATTCTGTTATTGTAATAATATGATAGAAAAACAATACTAAAACAAAAAAAAACAAATAAAGTAATAATAATAGAAAAGTTATAATTTATCTATAAAATTAATAGAGAATTTGATAGACAGCGAAAAATGAACAGTTTAATATAATATACAGGCAATCTCTTACAATAAATATTGTAAAATCATCAGTTTATTGTTTACAGACATGATTATATTATTTTAAAAAGAAATGAATATGCAACCAACTTACTTGGACAATTTTAAAACAATTCTAGCATTTCTTAAAGAAATTTGTAAGCGTGGACTGCTTTTTTTTCACTTTTTCCATTTTAGCTTCTGTTTTTTTCTGCTCTTTTCTCTTTATCTCTTCCTTTTCTTCCTCATCTTCAGAACAACTTACATAAACATGTTCTTTCTTTGTTACAATATATTCACCTTCTTTATAAGTTCTATTAATTAATTTCAACATTTTTCTTTTACCATTTTCGTGTTTTACTTTTGGTGGAGAAGGACTCTTTGCTTTCATAGAAATTTCTGGTTCTATTTCAGGAACCGACTCTTCCATCTCTATATCACTTTGTATCTCTGAATCACTAGAATCAGTCTGCATAACAATTCTCTTCCGTTTCTTAGCAACTTCATTTGTTTCTTTACTTCTATTCCGCTTTTTTCCATGCGACTTCTTCTTTTCTTTAATTATTTTTCCTTCAGTAAATTCTTTTTTGGCATTATCATTTTTCTTTTCTGATGATATTGCTTCTGTAGCAGATTTTGGAGGAGAGGACAGCTTCCCAAAAAAATTATCTAAGCTTCCCTTTTTAGAATTATTTTGTGGGGATATTTTTTTAGTGGTAGAATTGGAATTTTTATTTTTCTTAGTTAAATTTTGAATTTTTTCTACAGAATCTTTGGAAAAATCTTTATCTTCCTGAACAAAATTTTTATCCTTTTCTACAGTACTTTTTTCCTTTTTCATTGAATCTTTATTACTTTCTTGGAAAGATGATTTTAACTTTTCAGAACTCTTTGATTTTTCCACCATGTTAAATAAATTATTAAATCCATTTTTCTTTGTTGCCTTTGGATTCTTTTCAGCCTTTGACGAATTTGTCAAATCTGTAGACTTTAAATTTGTCACATTTTCCATAACTTTTTTAGCAGTTGTACCCCAACGTAATAGTTGCATTTCTTCATCAGTTCGCTCTTTGCAGGCATCACATTTTATAGCACTGTAAGTTGTATCACCTGAACCAGAAGTGGCAAGTAATTCCAAATCTGCAATTGGCTTGTGAACACTATAGACATGTTCCGAGATAATTTTACTGAATTTTTCTTTAGCCTCAGATAAATTGGATCCTTTAACAACTTCTACACGCATTCCTTTCTCCTTTAGATGACCTATCAATAAATATGTGCATTCTATGTTATTGTTGTTTTGATACTTTTGATAAAAATCCCACAAGATTTGTTTTGCTATATTAACATGGATATGCAGCTCTTTGCTTAGCCATTTGTAGGTGACCTAAAAATATACATCATTGCATTATACATGATATAGAATAATAATAAATAAAATATTTATACAAAATACAATGCGGAATTATATATAAAAAATTGCGATAAAATTACCAGTTTGTCATTATCAAAAACATGACCAGCCAAAGTCTCTAAATGCTCATTCGATGTTTCCGTATTCATTTTTCAACAATTCGTGTCCTAAATTTATGATTGTTTATTAACGGATCCACAAATCTACACTCGTAGTTGAATTTTCATCAAACTTTTCTCTTCTCTGTATATTGACCGTACTCCGAGATGATACAATCAGTAATAAATCTTTCCATCAAACTTTCCACAAAGAAATCCGGGGAAATTGAATAAATAAACGTTATTGAGTAAATTGTAAGAATATTTGTTGAATTACAAAAGACGATAAGTCAGAAACTTTCAAAAAATAAAACGTTTATAAGCGGCCATTCTTATGATGGTTAGGTTAGGCTGCCGCTGCCATATTTTTCAATAAGAGTACTGATTGGTTGTCTACATCATGTGATCGCAATACACCATACTTTTTTGCTTCATTTGAAAATAAACTCCAAAATTTGTTTACTAATTGTATAATCCATTACTTCATCTAATGACAAATTTTTATTTTATTAAGTGTTTCAACATTTAAAGAGAAAGAAAATTTAACAGAAAGAAAACACTGAATACTGGATTCAGTATTATATAACAAAGTTGGATTAAATATATGCGAATTTGTATAAGAACGCTTTTGCGTTCAAAAGAATTACATATACAATCAGGTATATGTAAATAATTTTTTTATTTATAACTTTATGTATTAGTTACATTTATTTACTTATACTATGAATATAATCGTCTATAGATGAAAGGCATAAGGGAGCGGAAATTATAATGTTGCACGCATATTTAACATTCTTCCTTTTAGCACGTACTTTTCGATTTATTCTTTGCTATATTTTTCTTAACTTGTTCCAACACCGATGTATCCTTAAAAATGATATATATGTGAAACGCTTTATTATAATAATATAAATAATGTGAGTATATAATATTTAATTTATATTAGAGTATGTAATCGCATTTTTCCATTTACCATAGCTGTAATAAGTAATGAGCAATCGTTTGTATGCATATATTGGACGGTACAAACACCGTCACCATCGGAATTATTATCTCTTGTCATCATCCTGTTAAAACTGCCATCATTCACTGATTCTGTTAAATGGATAGGCACGTTCCAGATTTTGGTTGCTCCTTTGATAAGGTTTACATTTTCCCGATAAAAATTGTAATCGCGCACATTGTTAACCAGAATATTAACTGTGCAAACACAAATATTTATTAAAATTTATCCTATATATTTAAATTATTTAATTACTGCATTAACTTGGCCAATTATCATCAACAAGATCTACCTTCTGGATTTGATTTTTTGCTCACGTTTGCCATGCAACTTCTAATCGCATTTGTAACATCCACGAGTTCATGTATCCTTTCCTCCAACTCAATATCTCTCAGATGCTTGAACTAATGAAAGAAGAAATGAGAATAGAAAACAAAAATTAAGTATCTAACATGTATAATAGCGTTCAGAAGAAAAAGAAAATTATATAGCAAAAAAATTGATAATATAGAGACTATTTTTTTCACATACTTCGTATGGCATAGGATAGGAAGTCTCAAGCAACGAGGTGACTGATAGAAATCCTGGTAGTCCCTTCTTGGCAAGTCTTACATACAAATCGTCCGACAGGTATGGTGTTACAGGTGCGAGAATGCGTAATGATACTTCCATGCATTTCGCAAGAGTATTGGAATGCCCAGCGGAATTGCCGCTTCTAAATCCAAATTTTGTACCCTCCTATTATATTTAAAAGAAAATATTTCCTTAATTAAAATTAAGAATTACTTTTATTAGATAATTTAAGAAAATTAAGATTAATAAGAATAATCATATTAATGTATGATTTATATATTTAATTAATCTTATAATTTTTTTTTTTTTTAATATTGTAATTGAAATCTGAAAAGTTTTTCTTAACACTATTACAAAATTCAGAAAATTTATAAAAATCTTAAATTATTATTATATTATATTAAATATTATAAATAAAATTTCTATACAGCACATTTATAACATACCACATAGAAATCACAAAATTCATAATACAGAAATTGACGAATTGCAGTTATCGCTTTATGAAAATTTCGTTCGGCAAACGCATTATTTACTATTTCAACCATCCACGATAATCGACTGAGGATCCATCGATCTAGGTCATTCAGACTTTCCTTTTCTACATTTTCGTGTCGTTGTTGGTCCTCTTTTGTCATTAATAATACATATTTGCTTGCCTGCCAGATTTTATTACAAAAATACTTGCTTGTCCGACAATCATCCACATCAAAACTGATAGTATGATCTATAAGAGGAAAGTATCTATAAGGAAAAGAGATAAGAGTCTCTCTTTCTTAAGATTTAATGCGCTTACTCTTAATATTGCGTGCACATAATGATAGTCTCAAGGCATCGGTACCGCAATCTGGTATTCCCATGGAATACGTTTTTGTATTAACACGCAGCGTTCGCTGCAATTCTTCAGCGCTAAGAATACCTGCCGCGTGACTACGTCTTGCTTGCTCGTTCAATTCCTACATTATAATTGTGTGTCTAAGATCAGTTTTAAATAATAGAATTATAATACATCAATAAAAAAAAGGCAATTTCAGTTTGTTGATATTTAATTTTCATTACAGAGATTATAAGTATTTCTATATTATGATATATGTATAATTGATGCAATTTTAAGAAATACTCACTTCGAAAGTACAACCATTGATAATGTTTTCTGGCGAGATGACATTGCCGGAGCTTTTTGACATTTTCTTGCCATTGCCATCACACAAAACACCATGAAGTAAAACTTCCTATACGCATGCATAATTTATAATTATCAATTTAAGCACACTATAAAAAGAGATTGCTTCTTTTAATATTATTATACAACAGTACACTCTAATGTGAATGGATTACATTACTTAATATAATATAATATACAGGGTGGACCATCTGAAGTGATCCAGTCAAATATCTCGAAAACTAGTAGGGATAGAGAAAAATGTTTCGTATGAAAAGGTTAGGGTTACACGGGGGAAGTATGGTACTGACCTTGAAAAATCCTTGGAAGGTCATTTTGAAGGTCATTCAGGGGTCACGATGGTTTTTTTAAATGGAACCCCTAGTTTTTCACCATGGGATGAGAAAGCTGGTTTCAAGCCCTTTACGAAACACTGGTTGTGGTCCACA